ATGGAAACCGGTACTCCACGTTTTTCAGCTCAGGAACTAAGCCACTTGAGTTGTCTTGTGCCGTGATGACGAGAAGGGCCTCCGCCTTTGAGGACTGCGCGTTAATAGCCAGTTGTAAGACATTGTGACTGACCTTGCTTTGTCCAGATGGAGCCCAGGTAACTCTCTGGTCGTTGGACACACTCCTGTTGACAAAGTTTACTCAGTGTGCACTGAAAATTACTTACTATACATATATAAGGCTTTTTGGTGCTGATGGAGTGGCTGGGCCTCCCCATTTTTTAATAGTGTGTGGGTGGTTCAGTAGTAAATGTGAAAAACGTTTGTTTTTAATGATAGTGGGGCTTTTTGTTTTGTTTTTTTTTGTTGTTGTTTTATTTGACAGAGATCACAAGTGGGGGGGGAGCAGGCTCCCCGCTGAGCAGAGAGCCCGATGCTCTGACCTGAGCTGAAAGCAGAGGTTTAACCCACTGAGCCACCCAGGCGCCCCGATAGAGGTTTCATTTTACGAAGAAGTCTATCAGATTTTAAACTTAAGGTTCTTGAAGTTTCTATTCTCTAGCATAAGGACAGAAAAGTGTCTGAGCTGGTAGATAATCCCAAACTTGTTTTTATGTGCCTGTAGGGCTTTTTTTTTTTTTTTTTTTTTAATTAATATTTGAATATTGTTCTTTCTTAGCCAGTGTATAATTCACAGACTACATTATTTAGTTCCAGATGTATAGCATAGCAATTGGATTTTTCTGTATACTGCGAAATGATCCCGGTAAGTTTACTTAACACCTTTCAAAAAGCCTTAAAGATACAGGGCACTTCGGTGGTTCAGTCAGTTAAGCGTCTGCCTTTCGGCTTGGGTCATGATTCCGGGGTCCTGGGATCGAGCTCTGCATCAATCCGGCACCTGCTGCTCCCCCCTGCTTGTGTTTTTTCTTTCTCTGACAAATAAGAAAAAAAATTTTTTTTTTTTTTTTGAGATAGCAATTTTGTAATATACGGTAAGTATTATAACTGGCAGTTTGTACATTTGACGACCTTCACCTATTTCCCCTGTGCTTCTGGCAGCCGCATAATATATTCTCTTTATGATCTTGAGGTATCTTTTGGTGACGCTGGTGGTTTTGTTTAGATTTCCACATATAAGGGGTGCCTGGGTGGCTCAGTGCTTTAAAGCCTCTGCCTTTGGCTCAGGTCATGATCTCAGGGTCCTGGGATCGAGCCCTGCATCGGGCTCTGTGCTCAGCGGGGAGCCTGCTTCCCTCCCTCTCTCTCTCTCTGCCTGCCTCTCTGCCTACTTGTGATCTCTCTCTTTGTCAAATAAATAAGTAAAATCTTTAGAAAATAGAAAAGATTTAGATTCCACATACAAGTGAGATCATGGGATTTGACTCTGACTTAGTCCACTTGGCAGAATGCACTTGGTCCATCCACGTTGTTGCACGTGGCGAGATTTCATTCTTTTTATGACTGAGTAATGTCCACTGTGTGTATATACTTCCTCCCTCTGTATCCATTCAACTGTCTGTGGACACTTAACATTGTTTCCATGGCTTGGCCGTTGGTAATAATGCAGTGAATATGGGGTTAGCGCTTTCCTTTTTGGATAAATACCCAGAAACGGGATTGCTGCATCATCATAGTTAATTTGTGGGGAACCTCCATACTGGTTTCTATAGTGATTGCCACTTCGCATTCCCACCAGCTGCACAGGGGTTCCCTTTTCTCCACATCCTCACCAGCACCGTTGTCTGTTGGGATTTAGTTCTAGCCAGTCTGACACGTGTGAGGTGATCTCACTGCTTTTGACTCAGGTTTCCCTGATGACCAGCGACAACGAGCACCTGATCATGTACCTACTGGCCATCTGTAGGTCTCTGCCCATTTTTAAATAACACTGTTTGGAGCTTTTTGCTGTTGATTGAGAGTTGCTTGTGTATTCTTGGTGTTAACCTGTGTCAGATACATGATTTGCAAACATTTTCTCTTTTTCAATATTGCTGTGGAGTCTTCTGTGGTCCATACAAATTTTAGGATTGATTCTTCTACTTACACGGATAACATCTTTGGCGGAGCCCCTGGGTGGTTCAGTTGGTTAAGCCTCTGCCTTCAGCTCAGGTCATGATCCAGAGTCCCAGGATGGAGCCCCTCTTGTGCTCATAGCACGAGCTCATGCGTGCGCACTCTTTCTCTCTCTCTGTGAAATAAATGTTAAGAAACAAAATACTTCTGGAATTCTGATAGGGATTATACTGAATTCATTTATTGCTGGCGTAGCACTGGTGTTTTAACAGTATTTTTCCAAACTCTGAGCATGGGATAGCTTTTCATTCTGTCTCTTCAGTCTTTTTCTCATCAATATCTTAAACAGTTTTTAGTGTGCAGGTTTTTCGTCTTTTTGGTTAAATCTTTTTCTAGGTATTTTATGTTTGTTGATATTTGGAAATGGGAAGATAGCATGTCTCCTGTTAAGCATTACCCGGCCTGCAGCTTTTCTCAGGTCTAGAAGCTAGGTACTGCCGGTCCAGTGTACTTGTGGAGCTTTCCTGACTATAGGTTGGCTCTTGACCACCAGGCTTCATTGTGGGTGTAACGGTTAAGTGATAGCAGCATAGTTTTTTGCAGGGAGATGCTAAGTGCTCTTCTAGGGATTGTCTCATTACTCTCCTGACGCTTCCAAGGAAGGTGGTGGTTTCAGATGGGAGCAGAGGTGTGTGTGGGCACTTTCCCTCATTGGTAGGATGAGAGTATGGTCACAGTGGCTGCTACATTAATTCTTAAATTGGAACGGGTTCTTAGCTCCCACTCATGTCACAGCTCTGTGGAGCTCCTTAAGCTCCATGAAGTCAGAGGTGAGCCAGACACCCCAATCCATGCTTTTTCCTTCCTACCAGGCAATGCCTTGCTTCGGCGACTGGTGCGCATTGGAGTGCTGGACGAGGGCAAGATGAAGCTGGATTATATCCTGGGTCTGAAGATTGAGGATTTCTTGGAGAGGCGTCTGCAGACCCAGGTCTTCAAGCTGGGCTTGGCCAAGTCCATCCACCACGCCCGTGTGCTGATCCGCCAGCGCCACATCAGGTAACTCCCTTAGGGAGCTCCCTGAGTCTGTCTTGTATCCCATCCCCCTCGCTAAGTTTGCTGTCCTTACCTCCTATGCAGCCCTCAGAGGTGACAAAAGGTGTGACTACACCTTGAGGGTAAGATTGGCGCCTGCAAACAGCTCATGGGGTGCTGGGGACAGCCTCATCCCCCACCTTGTAGCCCAGCGCAAGGGTCACTGCGGCCTGAGCCGTACACCTTGCGAAGGCTTCTTCGGGCAGCTGGACAGGTAACCACTTGGTGTGCCCAGGTGGGCGTCAGCTGGTGTGGGTGGGTTCATGGATACAGCTGTGTTGGGCCTACTCGTGGACTCAGTCCAGAGCCTGGTACTGTTAACCAGCGTTAATTTGCCAAGTTGACCACAGCCCGTGGTCTGATGCTCAGGTGCCAGGACTATAGGAGTCTGCTGGCTTGGGGGACAGCTGGGTCTTTCCTCTGGGTGCTCAGTTTGCCCTTTGTCAGATGTTGTAGAACGGGGTCTCAGGTAGCTGCTTCAGGGACAGGGAGGCTTGACCTTAGTAAAGCCCCATGCGTGGCTCGGTTCCACTTTGAGAATCTGACCCTGGGTTACTGGCTGCCACCAGGGCTCCCCCTTCTTACTTCGTGGTCTGGTTGAGTCGAGTGATGCTCTAAAGCTTTCCAGAACACCCAGGTGCTACAGGGTCGGGAACACCCTCCTACCAAGTCAGAGTCCAAGCAGCGAGCAGTAGTGTTTCCTCCCACTGGGGTCCTGTTCCCCGTCCCTTCACCTGCCATCCCCCCTCCAGGGTCCGAAAGCAAGTGGTGAACATCCCATCCTTCATCGTCCGCCTGGATTCGCAGAAGCACATTGACTTCTCCTTGCGCTCTCCGTATGGGGGTGGCCGCCCAGGCCGCGTCAAGAGGAAGAACGCCAAGAAGGGCCAGGGTGGGGCTGGCGCCGGCGATGACGAAGAGGAGGATTGAGCCCACCCTTCCCTTCCATCCATCCCCCCCTACCCCCTGGGGCCCGTGGATTGTCTGGTTTCCCCGTCACATAATAAAAGAACCAGTGCTTTGGAACTGGTGTTTATTGGTGTATCTGTCTGCCTCCATTTTCTGAGCATAGCACCTCGGGTGGGGAGAGGCACAGGCCGGGTCCTTGATCAGGTTCCCTCCAGCTAGTGCTTGCCGCCGCCTCAGAAGGCCTGGCGAGCCTGCCAGCTGGTGGTCCTCACTCCTTGGGGCAAGGGTACAGTGGTGAGCAGCGCAAACCCCACTTGCGTGTTTCAGTGGGGACACCAGCAGTGTTAGGGGACGTTCTCGGGCCAGTTACTTGCATGGGGGTAGGGGGACTCCCTTCTGGGCAGAGGAGGTAGCAAGTGGAGGCAAGGCCAGCCCAGCGCCCCTAGCGCTTTGGACCTTGGCCCCAGGAAAAGAAGTCCGGGTTAGGGTTGTCCAGAGCTGGAAGCTGACCCTTGGGTTGCAGGCGAGGGTAAACGAGTTTAATTGGGATTTGCTGGGGAGCGCTGGGCAGGAAGGACAGGCTGGTTTCAACGCTTACATTGGTGTGGTTGGGAGGGGACGGCTGAGGCACCCCGCTCCCCTCCCCCGCATCTAGAGTTTGTGAACACAGGTCAGGAGGGAGACCAGCTTCCCTTTCTCTGTCTTGTAGAGAAGCTGCATGGGACAGAGCAAGGGGCTTGGTCTCGGGAAACGGGAAGCCCTTGCCATTTAGCAACCTCACTGCTCTCAAGTCAATCTTTTGAGGCCTTGGGCTCTCAGGTCAGCTGAAAGTGCTCAGCTTCAGCGTAATGGCCCTGGGCCTGGGATGTTGCCAAGCTGCCAGGAAGCCTCCAGAAGGTCCCCAGCTCTTGGAGCTTAGTGCTGGATTCCCACCACACCTCAAGGGTTGCCACTTGGTAACAGTCTTGGGGCTTCCTGTGGATCCTTCTAGGAACTGTACGATCAGCTGGTCCTGGAAATTCTGGAAGCAATCGACTCCCACAAGGTCTCCCGAGTTCCTGAGTTCCTGGTCCGTGTCCTACCTCCAGGCTGGCTGGGGGCAGCTCCTGTGCCTTCCAGGGTCCCTGCAGGGAGACTTCAGACCCCTGGAGCAGGCGGTATGAGTCTGCTGGGCTAGTGGATGGCCAGGACAGCGTACACGTTGGTCTCCTCCAGGGGCTCCCCTAATTGGGAGGGAGGCGGTGCACTTGTCTCCTGCCTGAGGGCCAGGTGGTTCAGCTGGGCGTAGGTTACATCTTCAGGGTCTTCAGAAAGCGCAGCCTGGAGCCGGGGGAGAGGAAAGGCACGAGGCTGGTGAGGGGAGGATGGCGCTCCCCGCGGGGCCAAGGGCCTTGCTAGACAGGGTGGCCTTGAGCCCACTCTGGCCTCCTTCGGTGTATCTGAGGGCAGGGGTGTGAGGTGGAAATGCCTGTGGTGTGGACACGGGGTTGGGCCTGGGATCTGGTGCTGGGGGAGGCTGGAGCAGGAATTGAGGTGGCCATCAAGGCAGACCCAGCGCCCGCCGCGGGGGCCTCAGCTCGGGGGCCGGGGTGAAGCACGTGAGCGAGCGGTGGGTTGCTGGGGAAAGAAGGAACGGGAAGCAGAGGGCTGAGTCGCTGTAGGACCAGGGTGTGTGGAGCTGCCGCGGCGTCCTCTCCGGGCGCCCGCAGGCCCAGGGCGTGGAGTTGCGCCCCTCTGTGCGGGGCACAGGCTGTCCAGCCCTAACCAGCCACTCTGCCCACTCGCCCCGAGTGTCCCCGCAGCTGGAGACGAGAAGAGGCCCAGGGGAGCGGGGTCACGGCAGCACAGAGCGCCGTGGGCTTCCAGAAGGGAGACGCCTGCTGCTGGGCGGAGTGTCCGCTGGGTTTACCACGTGAGCAGGGAGGCAGGGGGTGCCCTGGTCCGGAGCACAGGGAGCTCACCTGGCTGTCCTGCTGTCTGTCCTCAGGCTGTGTGTCTCTGACGACAGCATCTGGTGGGGACAGAACACGGCGGCCCCTCTCTAGCCAAGATTCCCCCAAGAGTCACATGGCAGGAGCTCAGAGACAGTGACAGTTACAGAGCCACGCGGAGTCAGATGCTGTCTGCCCCCACCCCACCCCTGCCCACCCATGTCTCTGGGCCCTCCTCCTCCCTCCCCCAGGACAGCCCATGCTTCCCCTTACACAAGGTCTCCTCCTGGGCGGCGGCCTCAGGACCTGAACTGGGGAGGAGACAGTGGTGTTAGCGGCAGTGAGGGGGCCGCTGGCTAGCGGGAGTCGGGGTCTCGGGGTGCTCTTACCTCCTGTGCAGGCCTCTGTCCTCAGACGCTGCCACTGCTGCAGGGAGGTGGAAATCAGCCTCAGGCCCCCATTCTCGACCCCTCCCAGGGCCTTAAGCTGAGGATCTTTATGATCCCCGCCCGTCCCCCCCCCATACAGAGAAAGCCGTGCTAAACAGTAAAAAACAAAGCTTGTATGTGTTTCCAAACATTTCATAAGTTCAAAAAGGCAAAAGGATACAATATTCACACATGCCCACGTGTACCCTCCTTTCTAGACCTCGCTGGGAGATGCTGGAGTCCTACGCCACTCTGGTTTCCCTCTGGCCGCTGCCCTGAGCCCACCCTTGGTCGGCCCACTGGGCAGCCACCACCCCCCGGGACTTGTCACCCCCTTCCCTTCTCACCTGGCTTCCTACCTTTGCCCCGACGCTGGTGTCGGACCAGGAGGAAGACGAGGAGGCCGAGCAGCAGGACGAAGGCTACTGAGGCCCCGATGAGGACGTACAGGTACCAGTGGGGACCTTGTGCACAAGCCACACTATGAATGAGCCAGTGATGCCCTTTACCTGAGCACCTACTGTGTGCCAGGCACCTGCTCGGCTCTGTGCACTCAGCTCTGACCCCGTCAACGATCACCCAGCAGACGACTGCCGCCCCTCCCGCCCACTCCACAGACAGAAAACTGAGGCACAGAGAGGTCATTATTCACATGTCTCAGGTCGCCCAGGGTGGAGGCAGCAGGGCTGAGACTCGAACCAGGGCCGTGGGTTCCCTTGCGGGATTTGGGGTTTTTTCATGCTGCCCCCTCGCCCTCCAGACAGAACACGGGAGTGGAGACCTGTCCACCAAACCCAAGCCCAGACCCATCTCCCACTCTGCACAGGCGTGACGCCCCCACAGGGGCCTGTGTGGACCTGGAGTGTGCGTCTGCGAGGGCAGGAGGGAGAGCCATGACTTGGACTGAAATCTCCCAGCGCGCTGCGGAAGATGGCGGGAGGCCTGTTGTGCCGATGGTGAGCCTGGGCCCCGGAGAGGGACGTGACTTGTCCAAGAGCAGAACTGGGGTCTGAACCTGGGGGTGTGACTTCCAAGCCTTGTTGTCAACTCCGCAGCTGCCCTCAGGCCGAGACCCCCGACCTGTGGAGGTGAGCTCAGAAACCCTGCGTGCGTGCCTGCTGCCCCCGCCTGCCCCGCACACAGTGATGAAGCCACCTGCTGGCCCTTTGCAGTCAGGTTTGCAATCCAAGGAATTGTCCCAGTGAGAAGAACTTTCTCCCACCATAATCTCGACGCAAGACTGGGCTGAGCTCCTCCCACCCACCACCTCCCGACAGAGACCCCACTTACCCCTCTGTGGGCTGAAGGCTGCATCCTCAGAGCCGCCTGGGACCAAGACAAGGAGGTGAGGGGCGGGGGCTACGTGCGCCTCACTTCAGGGTGCTCCGCCCCCCACTGGGCTCTCCCCCTCTCCCTCTGCCATGACCACCCCACCTGCCACCCGGCCCAGGCTCCGAGCTCCTGGAGCCTTGTGGTCACCCCAGAGAGAAGCCATGCCAGAGAGTGTCACCTGTGACCCCCTCACTCCCATCCCACCCTGGCACTCCCCTGAGGACACAAAGAGGACAGGATTGGATCCCCTCACCTGAGACCAGGATCTCCAGGGGGTCACTGGGCTGTGACAACAGGTAGGGGACGTTGCTGTGTGAGCCGTAGCACCGGTAGGTCCCTTCGAGGTCTGAGGTCACGGGACTCAGGATGAAGTTGACCTGATAAGGTATCGCTATGTCCTGCAGATGAAGGACCTGGGGAGGAGCGAGGGACCCCTCCTTGGACAGGTGGAAGGTATCAAACCAGATCTCAGAGCGACACTGCAGGGTCACGTTCTCTCCCCAGGACACTGACGTCCCCGGCTCGGCCGAGAGGGACGGTTTCTCATACATTCCTGGGGGAGAGGAAGGTCGTGACATGTAAAGAGCCACTCCCTCTCTACATGCCCTTGACCCTGGGCTGGGGGGCCACATCCTCTCTCCAGGGACTCTGTGTGGGACCCCCTCTCGGCACCTCCCATCTCTCTGAGTGGGTGTCCTTTATCTCCATGGCCCTCACTGTCCCTCTCTCAGTCCCTGTCTCTAGACCACATCCCTGCCTCAGCCTATGATCCTGGCCCTCTTTCTGGACCCCATCACCCAGGGACAACCGTGGTCCCAGGCCCTGAGCAGACAGGACATGGGTCAGGGAGCTCCTCACCTGTGATCAGGACAACCAGAGGGGCACTGGGGGCCGACCAGGTGGAGGAGATCTTGTGTCCACAGTAGCATCGGTACCGGCCCCCGTGGGTGTGGCTCACAGGGCCCAGGGGGAAGTTGGGGCTGAGTTGCCCTTCTAGACTCTGGGGAGCTCTGAGCTCCTCGTCCTTGGTCAGAGCGAATCTCTCAAAGCCGGTCTCTGAGCGACACTGGAGGGTCACACGGTCTCCAGACTGCACCAGGGAGCCCGGCTGGGCCAAGAGGGAGGGCGCCCTGTAGACACCTGGACAGCAGGGGACAGTGGTACTGGGGACGCACTCCCCGCATGGCCCACAGCCTGCAGTGAGGCTCTCATGGGCCCCTCCCACGTTCTCCCACCTGTGGTTCTGGCCCCAGGACAACAGTGTCACCCAGCCCCCATCAACCTCAGGGTTCCACTGCGCATATAGCTTAGGTCAGTCATCTGGGTCCAGGAGGTAGATGGGGTGAGGCAGGGGCCCCCTCACCTGTGACCTGAAGGTGCAGAGGGTCACTGGGTTGTGACCACGAATCCGGGTATGACTCGGAAGAAACGTAACATCTGTAGGTCCCCGCATGGGAGGTGTTCACGGGGCCCATGTGGAAGAGCCCCTGCCTCCTCTCACGATGGAACTTCCATTCCAGGTGTTGGGGCGCATCAGCCCCCCGCTCCTTCAGCAGATGGAATGACCCCCGTGGCCATGATGAGCTACAGGAGAGGGACACGTTCCCTCCCAAGGCCACCACAGGGCCTGGGTTGGCTGAGAGGGAGGGTGTGGGATACTGTCCTGAGGGAGAAGGAGGGAGCTGGTTACAGGGACCATCACCCCACGGACCCCACGGACCCCATGTACTGTGGGCTGTGAACAAGGGGTCCCCGTGAAGCCACAGTCCATTCCCTTCTGCCTGGAGGAGGGGCCCAGGGGGAGGGGACCATCTCCTGCTCTCACCTATCATCACCAGGGACAGGAGTTCACTCAGCTGTGACCAGCTCTCCCCGCTCCGATATGCACACCGGTATCGCCCTACATCGTGTAAGCTCATGTATGTAATGGAGAAACTGGCCTTGTTGCTGGAACCCTGTGAGGTCTCCAAGGTCTCCGAGACCCTTTCTTTATACAGATAGTAGACGTCGGCCTCCAGAGATGCCTGACACCAGATGGTCACACGGCTCCCCTTGGTGACCATGGAGCTGGGATAAGCCCAGATGGAGGGTTTGGGGAGGGTCCCTGGAAAGGAATCAGATGGGGAGTTGCAAGGGGGCCCTTCTCCTCTCAGTTTCCCACCTGTCACCCCAAGGCCCCTCCCACATGAGTCACTATCAGCCCTGACCCTCTTGCCCCTCAGCTGCTCAGGGGGTGGTTGGTAGAGACAGGAGATCTGGGGAACACTCACGCATCTGTGCCTGGTCCCACAGGCCCCAACACAGCCCTGGAAGAGAGTTCCTGTGAGTGCCTCCCACACCCACACGTAGCTGCTCCAAGCCTGGTCTGGGCCCCTGGGTGCTGGGGTCACAGCTGGGGCTGAGCACATGCCTCCCCCAAGAAGTTCTGTCCCTACTGATCCTCCCCAGCCCTGAGGTCTCCCAGGGACCCGGACCAGGGGGCAGGAGGGGGGCGACCCCATCCCTCCTCTTTTCCAGAAAGCTCACCGAGGCAGAGAAGAGCAGTGAGGGTCGGAGTCCTGGCGCTGCCCCCCATGGTCCTCAGCGGTGCAGACAGCTTATAACGTCCTCAGCGTGAGCTGGACAGACAGATGCACAGGGTGTGGTACAACCCAGGCCCCGTGTTCCTCATCACGCGTCCTAGAGGGATGGCCTCACAGGAAGGGGAAGAGCCCCCGCGGGGCCTCTCTCTGCTCTCCCTGAAGGGTGAGCCGAGGGCAGTGAGTCCTGGGACCTTTCAGACAGACTGAGTCTTGTCTCCCCAGACCCCGCTCTGTCTGCTTCCTCCCCAGCAAGCCCAGGTCTAGAGAGTAGCTGGTTCTGGCCCTCGAGGCTGGGGGAGCTAGGGCAGGGCCTGGGAATCAGCCCCATTTCAGTTCCCCTTCTGCCCTGTCTCACACAGAGGCTGGGTGTCCTGGGCTGAGACACTTCCCTTTCCTGAGCTTCTGTCAACGCAAGTTTTCGTCCTTCCTCCCAGCACGTTGGCAATCAGCCCGTGTGCGGCGAGCAGTGGCCACATCCCGTCATGGTGCCGGGCATGGGGACTCATTGGCGAGGGGACAGACTCGTTCCCTGGACTAGAGGGGCTGCGGCTAGTGACAACAGACAACACGAATATTTAGGTGGGAAACGATTCTCTCATAGTCTTGCAGGACTGTTCCAAGTTGAAAGAAAAGAGAAAACGGGGAATCGTGAGAATCGTAACACGTAGACGTCACAGAGTCTGGGCCCTTGTCGTGAGCGGTCCTTCTGGGGGATGGAGTGACGGGAGGCGTGAGCTGGGGTAGCACAGAGATGGGCGTGGGGGCCGCCCTCCACGGAAACGACTCGAGCTGCTCCCAGAACTGAGGCTGGGGCCTGTCAGAGGATCGGAGCACGCCCGGGAAGGTTTTAACCAGCATCAGTCAAACGAGCTTCTGTCTGGAGACGACTAACGCTGTAGGAAACACGGACAGCTGGCAGCCTCCCTCCCCCAGCATTTACCTGCTCCCCGGGTGGTGTGTTGGTCTGCGTTCAGGCCGTGTGCGTAGCCTCCTCACTTAAGCCCTTACACAAACCTGTCTCACAACGCTTGCGCGGTTGAGTGGAGCCAGGATGGCAGGTTGGAGAGGAGGTGGCCAGGGGCAGCTTGGCTGAGGGGCCAGAGAAGGCAAGTGGACTTGTTAACAGCTCAGTTTGTGGTGTTGGGGGAGGTGTTGGGGGTGAGTAGTGTTTGCTGGGGCTGGTGGTTCTGGTCGGACGGTCACAGCCCGGAGGAAGAGAGGGTGCAACTTGGACTTTCTGAAGGAGAGTGTAGGAGGGTTTGGAGCCTCCCACGGGATCAGACCAGCCTGGTGATCAGCAGGATCCTCTGGGGAGGAATGAACCGGGCAGGGGAGAGGCCCGGCTGGAGGCGCAGGGGGAGGCTGACGCGCTGGCGCAGCCCCGCTCCTTGAGTCTTGGGATGGGCTGGACCATGTTAAGAGGGTCTCGGGCCGGGTGGATCCGGTGAGTGGACGTGAGCGCCAGAGCACGAGGAGCACAGGGGATTCCACCGTCTGTCCAGTGTCTGGAGGAGCCGGTGGGGCCACCCCCGGAGGATGAGCCAGGGAGAGGCAGGCTTTGGGAGGTGCCCTGAAGACAGATCGTCATTTCTCAGAAGGAAGCATGGCCCTTCCTCCTGCCCTGAGATCGTGGGTTTCCTCTGCCCCCCACACTTCCCTTCCCTGACTTCCTTCTTTCTCCAAGTCAGCACCGTCTTTATCATCTTCGCTCCTTCTGAACCTCCAGTGCATTTCTGCCTCCCCGGGTCCAGTCCTCCGCTGGGCAGACCTCTCCGTCCCATACTGTGAATTCCTTCCCGGGCACGGGGTAAGAGGCGATTCGGAGATGGAAGTAAGAGCTGAAACACTTACCGTCATTCTTCAGCAGATAATTCCCCTTTCTGAGTCTCCTGTTCCTCACAGTGACGACACAGTGGCCTCTACCCTCAGGACCGCTGGGGTCATGGAGGCATGGAGGGGGTCATCTGGGGTGGTTTCATGTGTGGTTTGTAGACATTGAGATGACTGCAGCGCCAGAGTTCCTATGGGGCCAGCTGCAGGCCACAGCCAACATCCACGGCAAGCACGCGGAAAGCTTGGTCAGATTCATGGCCACAGCTGAATTAGAGTAACTGAAGTGCCAGAAGTGCAGAGTGAATCCCTAGACGAGCAGAGACCAGCGCTGAGTGGGCGTGGTCACGAGTCCCAGGGACGCGCCAAGGATCTGGAGTTTTGCTGTGTCTGTGTGCAGACAGGGGGCAAAGCCCCAGAGGAGACACGGGGTTCCCGGTGTGAGCTGCTGCCTGTCTGAACAGGGACTGCAGTGTCCCCTCTCCCCGGTACGAGCTACCCCCCAGAATTCAGCTCCTTTCTCCAGGTGTGAGCGAAAGCCCTTCATGCAATAGGGGCGGGCGTGGATGTGTGGAGCTCAGGTCTGGGTCCACCGTGCATTGCCGGTGCCCCGCGGCAGGCACACCTACAAACCGTGACTCTGAAGCGATTGCAAGCTGGTCAGGTGTTTAGGACTTCACAGTGCAGGGAAATGGGGGTGACAACTTCCGTGGAGGATTAGCTCAGTGGCAAAATGACTGAGTGTGTGTGATAACTATGCCATGAAAAATAGAGTACAGACCCCAGTCACTGTGGGAATTCCCAACAAAGACAAAGGGGATAAATTGAAAATTGGGAAGAGATTTAAAAATAAGCGTGCTTTAAAACCTCAGACAAAAAATAAAAATAAAAATAAATTAAACCTCAGACAGTGGGCACCTGGGTGGCTCAGTGGTTTAAGCCTCTGCCTTCAGCTCAGGTCATGATCTCATGGTCCTGGGACTGAGCCCCGCATCAAGCTCTTTGCTCAGCAGGGAGCCTGCCTCCCCCTCTCTCTCTGCCTGCCACTCTGCCTACTTGTGATCTCTCTCTCTCTCTCTCTCTCTCTGTCAAATAAATAAAAATAAAATTTAAAAAAATTTTAAATAAAATAAAATAAAACCTCAGACAGAGGAAGACATGACATTCATGATACAGAAAGAGTTTAGTGGAAAAAAGAGTGCTTAAGAAATTTCATAGATAAAAACTCGTTAATTAAATAAGAAGATTCAAAAGATCTATTCCGTAGTAGACATTAGACAACTGATCAGAAAATTGGGGAATTGGAAAATGAAACTCAGAAAGTATCCCAGAATGCAGCTGGACATCATAAAAATAGAAGCCAAAAAGATAAAATCTGACACATGGAGGATAGAATAACTAGGTCCCAAGACAAATGTGTCCATTTTAATAGAGGAAATGAGAGAATGATCAAGTAGCAATAGTCAGGTATTGTCGTTAAGGGTTTTTTAGAAGTGAAACCAGAGAAATGGTCAGCGTGGGCTGTGAAAGCTGAACTGTGACTGGGAGCTACATCCTCGAAAGCAGGTAAAAATGTCAGTTAGTGGGACAACCTGGGTGGGTCAGTTGGCTAAGCATCTGGCTTCAGCTCAGGTCTTGATCCCAGGGTCCTGGGATTGAGTCCCATGTCGGGCTCCTTGCTCAGTGGGGAGCCTGCTTCTCCCTCTACTGCCCCCTCTGTGTTCTCTCACTCTCTCTCTCTCTGTCAAATAAATAAATAAAATCTTTTTTTAAAATGTCATTGAGTACCTAACCAGGTTGACGACCTAGTCAAACAAATAAGAATCCACATTCCCCAGAAGACTTTATCAGAACACAGTGCCTCCTAATGTAATATTCAAAGAAACAGGAAAGTCTCAGTAACACTCAAAGGAAAAAATACTCAATGGACACCAACCCTGAGTTGACCAACAATTTAAAGCCACTTCTTGTTAAAGATCTATTTATTTATTTGGGGGGAGGAGGGCAAAAGGAGAGGGAGAGAGAAGGGATCTCAGGCAGACTCCCTGCTGAGCTCAGAGCCCAATGTGCCGCGCCATTTCATGACCCTGAGACCATGACCTGAGCCAAAATCAAGAGTCAGATGCTTAACTGACGGGGCCACCGAGGTGCCCCCAAAGCCATTTTTATAATCAAGCTTCATGAAATAAGGACAAACACTCTTGAAATAAATAGAAAAAATAGACTTCTCTCAGCAAAGAAATTACAATGGGGGGGAGGAAATTGGAGAACTGACAAATTGAGTAACTGAAATTTAAAAATTTCTTGTGTCTAATGACAGAATGAAGATGACAGAGGCAGGAGTCAGTGAACTTGAAAACAGAACAAGGGAAATTACAATCTGAGCAGGAGAGAAAAAAAGACTTTAAAAAATGAACACAGGTTGAGGGATTTGTGGAACAATTTGCATAACTGATCTGCCGGCAAAAGGAGAATGCTATCACTGAAGGAAAAAAGTTCCAAGAAATAAATAACTGTCCGTTTTACAGATTTGTTGAAAACCGTACATTTCTGTCCAAAATGCTCAGCAAATGAAAAATAGGAAAAGCTTTAAAAACCATGCCCGCATACATCAAAATTGAACTGGTCAAAACCAAAAAAGAAAAAAAGAGGAAAAGCCATGTTACATAAGAGGGAAAACAATTTGAATAACTACAGATTTCACATCAGAAATCATCCTGGTTAGGGGAGCCTGGGTGGCTAAGTTGGTTAAGAGTCTGCCTTCAGGGGCATCTGGGTGGTTCAGTGGGTTAAACCTCTGCCTTTGGCTCAGGTCATGATCTCAAGGTCCTGGGATCGAGTCCCACATTGGGCTCTCTGCTTGGCAGGGAGCCTGCTTCTCTCTCTCTGCCTGCTTCTCTGCCTACTTGTGATCTCTCTGTGTGTGTGTCAAATAAATACATAAAATCTTAAAAAAAAAAAAAAGAATTTGCCTTCGGTTTAGGTCATGGGTCCTGGGATCGAGCCCCAAATCAGGCTCCCTGCTCAGCACGGAGCCCACTTCTTCCTTTCCTTCTACCTGCTGATCCCCTTGCTTGTGCGCTCTCTCTCTGTCAAATAAATTTTTTTTAATCTATGGAAAAAAAAAAAGAAATCATGCTGGTCAGAAGTTTTTTAAGTTATG